ATAGTCTTTAGAATTAGGAATGGAGAAGAGGCTGTGAGGGTTTGCTCAGGTGTGGCCCTAGAAGTACTGTGGGGGCCTTTGTAGGCTTGGGAGCACATGGGAGGGCTTGTTCTTTAGTGCTGTAGGGAGTTACAGCTCATAGATTATTGTGTATAAAACTACCAGAATAGTGCAAGTGCTGTAGTAGATAAAATGCTCTGATTACTTTGCTCCCTTTTTTAACCTGCTCTTTAGAAACCGTGATCACAGCATCCTTATTTTGCTTTGCTATTGAAGTGCTTTGTGTGACTTCTTTATAATCTCTGTTTGTCTTTCTTGGTGCTGTTTCTTTCTTTTGTTTGGGTTCTTTTAGATTTGGTTAGACTTCCGTAGTTCTCTGCTTTTCTTAACAGCTTGGAAGGGTTGGGATTTTTGAAAGGCCTCGGTGTTTATATAGGAACAATGAGCTAATTGTATTTTACAGTTGTAAATTATTTTGTCTAGTATTCTGCAAATTTGGGCAATATATAAGATCTCTTCTAATCCTCTTAAAGTGGATGTTATTGGTCTCTGCAATGCCCAAGGACTCCAGTTAACTCACAGTACATTAGGTGTGTTTTGCCCATTTTGTAGGTGGTCTTAAGCAAGAATGTCATTGCTGCAGTGGTTTATTGAGGCTTATTGTATTCAAGAAAGAGCGTGGGGTTTTTTGTTGTTTTTCTAGTGGTTTCTTTTTGCTTCTTCCTGCTCTTTAAATCTTAGTGTCAACAGATACTGATTGTTTTCAAGAATACTGCAACCTTACAGAAAGGAAAGGTGTTTTGTGTTGTTTTGCATATGAAAAAGCTTGCTCTCTGCTAAAGGGGGAACAAGCCACCTTCCTTTTTTTTCCCCTCTTCTCCTTCAAGTCCACATAATGTTCTTACACAATATAGGAGAGATCAGTAGGTGAAATTAAAGATATCCATGCCTGTAGATGGCAGTCAGGAAAGTTTTTTTCATTCAAAAGAGGCTCCTTTTTATTTTCCAAGTTGTTTTAATAAAGAGCTGGCAATGGTAGGGACTGACCCGGACACTAGCTACAGTTTCTCCATTCAGTGAAGTGAAGGACACAGCCTTTTAAAGAAGTTGAAGTTGCCTCCTCAAACCCATGTGGTGTTTTTAGTGCATAGCTTATCTCTTCATTTCTGTGTGCCACCTTTTTACTTGTTTCTACTTCCTACTTAGGCATGACTAATTAAAGAGCCTTCTTGCTTGCCATAAGAGCACATGGAATGCTTTGCCTGTGGCACCAAAGGAAGAAAGAGTAGGACTGAATATGAGCTCGCAATTCCTTATTTGTTGAACCAGAATGCATATCCTGTGAGCAACACAGATGATTTAGCCTTGTGTTCTGGAAGGTTTTTTTGGTTCTGTTGCCATCAGGTATTATAAGATACTTACATGGTCCTGCTGGAATGGTTATAATGATAGTGGAATTACAGCTCTGGAAAAGGTGCAAGTAAAATGTGAAGCAAAGGGAGTAAAGACATAGGCTACAGTGTAAGATTGATGTTCTGTGATGTTCCTCTATCCAGATAGGTAGTACTGATTAAGAAATATTTTTTCACATGATGGTACTTAAATTTTCCATGATAAAAAATTAATTCTCCTCTTTGATCAGTTTCTTCTGTGCCATATGCAGTAGTTCTGTGACAAGTGGTAGCTGTTTAAAAACAGAAAGAGGAAATTGCTGGCTTTATTTCTGTGTATTTCTGTGCTGGCTGTATTTCTACTTGATCCTGTCATATCAATCAGTTACTTTTCAGAAATCTGTGATAAGATGAAGTTGATTTTCATGACATTTTTGGAGAGGAGGTGTGAAATTGTCTTAAGTAGCCTGGGAAGATACTTAAGATCCCTCTTCCCATAAAGTTTATTTTAATTGGTATCTACAAATATGAAATGTTTTCATAATTTGAAGTCTATAATACTACCATCTAGAGATAAAAATACATTAAAATGAAAGGATTGGTAATACTTCCAAAAGTACTTTTAAGTAGATGTCCAAATCAGTTGTTTACTATTTTAAAATAATTTACTTTGGAAAAAATACTTGAAATATGTATTTGCCATAATTCTCAAATATTTTCCAAGATATTTTTGGACATTTACTGAAATCCATTATAACATGATAAGAAAGATTAGAAAATTCTGATATTTTGAATATGTAAAGACATAAGTCAAAATGAAGCTTTAATTTTAAATAGCTTTTATTTTCTCTTTAGTTTTATTGTCACCTTTATGTTCATATTAAGCAGAAAAATACAGATTACAAGTGATCTGAGAGTATGTAGCAGGCTGATACCATAGACCGGAGAAACTGATTAACAAATTTTAACCTTTGAACCTTTGAAACTACAGCAGCGCCAGCAAGATCCTTTTGGCTGCTGGCATTTGCCAAATGGCCTGTAGTCTGCCAAGCAAATTTTGCTATTTTGTTCTTTCGCTGTCCTCCCAATCCAGTGCTTGAATTGTACAAGATACAGTATAAACACGTTTAATCGTTAGTTTTTTTTTTTGCTTTTTTCGTTTTCACTTGGGCCATAGCGCGAGTTCCTGCTAGTCAGAAGCCCCGGCCCCCCTTTCCCTGCTCCGTGTTCCTGTTGAGGACAGCAGCAAGAACGTCTTGTATCTTGGCCGTCCCCACTGTGTTGTGGAAAATATCTGTGTTTTAGTGGTGCCCTTGCCCTGGTAAAAAAAAAAAAAAATTGTTATGCGCGTTAGCCATTGAAATATAAATCGTAATTGTGTTTCTTTGCATAGATTTAGCAAATGAATTGGACTCTATATTCTCTCTTGATGCACAGACATTGCCTGCACTCTTCTGCGGGAATATTCTCATTCTCCAGTCATGCAAACTCTTCCTTTCTCAGATTGCACTAATTTTCTTCATGTTTCCCTTGCGTTGATGTGATTGCCAGTGCGAAAATGAGTTTTCTGTGGATCTGCTGATCCTTGCATGGACTGAATGCCTGGCTGTTAGACTCGAGGTCTCTAGAGACAGACAGGAAATCAAGTTCGAAGCAGCCAGGCTGCAGTTCGAACTGCCTCTCAAGGTAATCTCTGAAGGGCTACTCAGATGGATGAGCAAGTTCTGCCCTACAGCCAGTCTCTGAGCTGAGGGCAACTGGGGGACCACAAAGTGGACCTAGATGAGTGCTATGCTGTCTTGGAGGCGATCAGGGGCCACTTGCATCCTGGTCCAGAGGGGCTGCTTGCATCCCAGTCTGCCCCCATAACTCATGAGCTAGGCTGGTGCTTTCAGCAGCATCTCTAGCAGTCAGAATCCCAAAGAGGAGAAGATCTATCTAAGCACAGTCACTTGTTCAGTAATACTGCAGGTGCTGTGGTGCTCTGGAAAAACAAATTCCTGCCCTGCCTCTCTAATTACTCCTTTAGATCATTATCATTCTCGGCAATCCCGCCCCAGAAGGGAGTGAGGGGGGAAGCAGCCCAAGTGCTATTAGCATTAAATGGGAGCTCCGCAGGCAAGAAGCAACAGCAATAGATAAACGCATAAACAGAATCCCCTTGGCATGGGGGGGGGGGGTGGTTGGTTCTTTCTTGGTTTTTGGTTTCTTTTGTTTGTTTGTTTATTTTCTTTCACTGAGAAGGAAGATTCTGAATCATACCTTTGTTTTCTACTGGAATGTAATTTGCTGGTTCAGTCCAGACTTTTCACGCTGCTGAAGAAAACTTCTATAAAAATTTCCAGGTGCAGATAAATACTTGTATTTTTTGCTACAAATCATTTTTTGTATCCAGGACATCATATTTTTCTGAGCTTGGATTAATGGCACTGCTTTCCCTGTAAAATAAGATGTCAAATTCACATTTTCTGTTCATTAAGTCTATTGTTTTAAAAAATAATTTTCCACTCACCATCTAGAAAAGTGTTAACATCACATCAACAGTTCTCGAATGCCATTCCAAAGGAAATTCTTGCCATGGATTTTCTACCTTTGAAGCACAATATAAACTTCTTTAAAAATACACACTGTTTTTTCACTACGCGTAGCTTTCCCATATGAGCATTGGAGGATTTAGGGCTTGGACTGTTAGTGTGAGCTCAAGATGGGAGAGGGAGTCCTCATGAAGCACTTTACACTAAGCAGCTGATATATAAATAGTGAATACTTCTAATATTCTAAATATAATGTGATTATATAATACAATGCCAGAGATTATATATATATATATAAAATATATATATAATGTGTATCACACAAGGAGAGCACCAAGCCAATGTATACTACATATATATTATATAATGCAAGAGATTAGAGTGATTAAAAAAAAAAAAAAGAGGCTGCAGAAAGTCCACTCATGGGAGCCATTGATGTTACAGCAGTTTCCCTGTATCACTCGAATCTTGGTTTTACACTTTCTTTAGTGAAATCTCTTTCAGCAGTCCAGTTTCAGTGTCCAGTATGATTGGAACAGCCCCAAAAGCTTTGAAATAAAACAAGTAAAGCTGCTTAGAGCTGGCAGTCCATGAGTGTTTGTCTGTTCCCTGGGAGTGGAATTAGCTGGTGTGCTGTAGAATTAAATTTTAAACAATAGTTTTAGCACTTATTTAGTTGTTATCTCTTCTTCTAATTATATATAAGAACACTCCAGAGGTCCCCACATAAAATCAGCATTCCCTCCTTCTTTTCATTGATATGTGAAGAAAAGTATCGATTTGGATTTTTTTAAATTAAAAATGTATTCATTTTCTCCTTAGTGTATGGGAAATGACTTAGAAAGATCTATCTTTTTCTCCTAAGGAAGAAAGATGTAATAATTAGTGAAGTCTGAGAAGGCAGAAAGAATGAATTACTTTAACTTGTGCAGAAGTGTTGTCAATTTAAGTTAGTTGCACACCTGTTAAGCACACAGAAGTGAGGCCCTGATGCTAAAGGCTTGAGAATGCAGCTTCCTCTCCTGTATAAATGCCACAAAGAGCTTCAGAGCTTCATTTCTTTGCTTACCTCCAGATAAGCATTTGCACTTTGACACTACCATTTAATGATTCACTGGGGAGGAGAATGAGACCTTTGCCAGGAGAAAATGGCATCCCAGATCTAGGAAGAGATTGTCCTGTTTTTGAAAGCTGTGGCAGGAGGGTTTGGCCAACTTCCTTTGTAGTCTGAACCAGAAATGGGTATTGAAAAGCAGTCAGTTCAAATAGGCTTTGCACTTACTTCAGGAAAAACAACCTGGTTTCACTGCAGCCTTAGTTTCTACTGGTAGAGGCCTGAAACTTGGTTGCAGTACATTTTTGTGAGTTCTAGTTTGGGGATTTTTCTTGTTGCCAAGTGATTTAAACACCTGCCTCAAGTAAGAAGGTCAGAATACTCTTGGGATTGCTTTAGGATGAAAGGGAAAAATAAGAATATCAAGGCATTACAGATCATCAGTATCCTTTCTGGTTTTGGATAATTAGCCTTTCAGAGGCTGGAATTAATGTCTCAGTATAGGTGCCTATGCACAAATTATATTTGCTTAAAAATATTAATTGCAATATCTTAACCGGGTTTACATGTCTGTGGTAGTGCCTCTTGCACGGAGCTCGATTTATGCTGTTCTGCAAGTCAAGGAGCAATGTGCAGACAGGAGCTGCTTTCCCTCTGCTTCCTCTGTGTGCGTGTGTGTGTACGCAAATAAAACGGGCTGTGGAGCTGCAGTCTCCTGCAATGGTTACCACCCTCCCTGCCTGCAGTCCACTTTTCAAATACAAAAGAGTAGAGGGAGACCAACTAGTTCTATATATCTCTGAATGAGAGATTTTCTCACCAATGTTTTCTGTGGTTAATCTATTGAATTTTGAAGTGAAATTTTAAGGGAATCATGGGAACTAAAGATGTACATCTGTTGTTCAGAGATCTGTGCCAAATTCTATTCTCGTTTACACTGGCATATGCATAGCGAAAGCAGTGACCAATTTGGCCTAATACTTTCCCTGTGTGATACAGTGATTTTGGCTGTACCAGCAGTTCCCAACCTTTCTGCAGTGAGTCCTCATTGCCACCCCTCGTTCTTCTTGTCCTTCTGTACTCTTTTTACTTCATTCTTATGCCTCCTGTTTCGACCTCTGTTCCTCCTCATTACCTCTGGCGACACCAGTTTTAAACACCAGTAAGCTTGGCCTAGCTTATTAACATAGTTGTGATGTGACTCATGGTTAAGAACTAGGAGACTGGATATTAGGTCTGAATTTCGATGTTAAGTTGCCCAGCAGAATCTGCATAAGAAGTCCTTTTAATAAGGATGATGTAAACACGTGGTTCATTCATGAATAGTAATTTCTGTCATGGCACTGATGTTTTTGCATTTGCTTTGTGTTAGTGAATGACAGATTCATCCTGAACGTTGCTTAAGCGTTCCCTGAATTGTGTGTTAGCTCTCATGTTCTCAGATTTTTGATGTTGTTTCTTTCATTTTCTCTTCTTTAGACCATTCCACGTAGAGCCTACAAACATAGTTAGCGTGAATGATGACACACACAGAGTCACTGATGAAGCTTCAGCAATGAATAAGAGGATTCATTACTACAGCAGGCTTGCCTCTCCTGCACACAGGGCTCTGGTAAGGAAAGACGAGGCCAGATTAACTGAGTGGTTTCTGGCACGTTGTGTCTTGCACAGCTGAGATGTATAAAAGAAACACAAGTAAATATAGAGGGAGAGTCACTCTGCAGCTTGTTTTCAAGTAAATGTCTAGTATCCGATGATCAGAATGAGGTTTTGTGTTACCAGAAGTCTTGACTGACTTCTTGTGAAATATCTTGTCCAAAGGAAACATACAAAAATTTGAATTTCACAGCAGTTGTCCAAACTGTCCAAACATGCAGATTCACTCCTGTTATCTGTGAGTGGATGACTGAACCTGCAGTGTCCATGTAGTACATTAGAGATGCTTTACCGAAGGAAATCTCATTTTCTGCTACCTATCCTAGAATCTCGGTAACTCTCTTTTATGGGCTGAAAAGTAATGCAGTCCAATGTTTTCTTTAAAAACAGTTTATGTGGGAAGATTTTGTATTTGGCAACAGTTGGCTTGCTGTAATTGGGACAATAGTTATTCTGACATTAACTAGTAATTCTTTCTGTTCTTTTTTATTCATTTTTAGATTGCTCCTGATCATGTACTTCCAGCACCTGATGAGATATATGTGTACAGTCCATTAGGAACTGCATTTAAAATTGACAGTTGCACAGATGGCCATGGTAAAAACTCCAGTATAGTGACAATGTATGTTAAGCACCTTCGCATAAAATAACTAGAAAATGCATTATTCTGAACATACTGTATTGCATGCTTAAATAGGTGAGAAGATGATATGAAATAGGAGTGTAGCTTAAGTCATTCACAGCCTATTTTCTTTTCTTAATAGATTTATGATATGGAATACAATGATGGGTACATCTATATTAAGTATCCCATGGGGAATAAAACAGGTAAAACTAGAAAAAAATGTGCTTATGAAAATATTTTCTGGCTTGCTCCTGTCTGTAGTGTTATTGATGAGTGATATTAAACCATATTTTTTCCTCTTAACAGGCCGGCTTTACTTCTGGAATCATTCTCATCTTACTGATGGGCGTTTTGACACTTTATTGCTGTTACAGAGTTGTGAAATCACGGAAAATGATACGTAAGACATGCCAAGTTTCATAATGCAAACATTTCCACTAAGTGAGAAGTTAAGAGATCTAATAGATTCTTTGTTTATTTGTCTTTCTACTTGCCTGACCCTCTAATAAGGGTAAAAGTGTCACTTTTGGAATATCACTCCTTTTGGAGTCCAGATCTAAACTCTGTAAATTAAATATCTTCTCTTGCTGTATTATTATTCTGTTTTTAAGACGCTCATTTACTAAGTGTTTAGATACTTAGAGTTAGGAGTTCCCATTGCCTTTCCATAAGCGCTGTCTAGTTCTCTGTGTGCATTTTCTACTACATCCTATAGTAGGAGAGTGTGCATTATAGTTGCATTCACCTCTGTGGTCTGTACTACCCTAAGGTTTGTGTATAGCAAAGAGCCAAATGTCAAGTCTGTTTCTGTATAAAACAAACAAGATAGTCGTTATTTAGTTGCCTTAAAGCTGCAATACTGCAGTCTCTAAAATATGTACAGCTGTGTACTAAAATGTGTGCATCTGTGTACTGTGCATTTGACATTGCATGTAATTTTCTGGGCATTTGCCTTGCTGACAGTAATACTACTTTAAATATACTTTTGTTGTTCAAAAGCCAATTTGCATATGGCAAAAGCCATAATGGAACAGACCAATGCTTCCTGACAAGCGTTATCTTTTAAAGTTAGTACATTTTCTTAGCATAAAGAAGCATTCTGAGTTTATGTCAGAATATTCTCATACAAAAAAAAATCCTGAAGAGTTGTGATACCAAATCTTCAATGTATTTTTTATTTAGAAATGTTTACTTTTTTATATGTCTTCTTTTTTATATTTTCTTCAGCTTTAATAGATACTTCTCATTGGGAATTTCCAGATGTTTGCAAGTATTATTTTGGATCCTTTGGTCAATGGTCAAGCTTCTTGTTTTCTATGGTGTCACTTGTTGGAGCCATGGTAGTTTACTGGGTGCTGATGTCTAACTTTCTGTTCAACACAGGAAAGTTTATATATAGTAAGTATTAGTATTTAGTTAAGATTTACAGCTATGTTGTTTAAAGATCAAGACTTTGCTTTACACTAACATAGAATTTTCCAGGTTATTAGCCTTAAGTTTCCGTTATTTTCTAAAAGTTGAATCAGAATAAGCTAATTAGGTGTGAGTTGTGGGCACACACTGATGCATGCAAAGACAGTCTCTCCATCCTTCAAAGTGTAGTTCTAATGAGAGACAAGGTACCAATCATATGACTTGCTGTGAGTAGGCAAGCTTTCCGGTGTAGTTTTAACAATGTGCTCTCTCTGGGGGGGGGGACTTAAAAAAAAAAAAAAAAAAATCCTAACCTAAGCAACGTTGTTTGTTGACATTTCTTATTTTTGCTTCCCCTTGCCTTGCTTGGACTGGTTTAATTATTTGTACAGCTATATGGCAAAGCAAGCTGTTGAAATGATCCAAGCTTAGAAAAAGAATCTCTGCCAAAAAAAAAAAAAAAGTGAGCACATTTACACTGCTGCTGCACAGCCAGTTTATATAGGCATCCCTGGAGTAATGCTGAGCTGTATAAGCAGGGAAAGAACAACTCTCGGTATGGTGTTGCTACTAGAGAAATTCTGTTGTCGGGCAGTTACACCCTCACGTATGCATGGGCTTTGTGGATACAATCAATTAGGTGTGGAGAGCTGTGGGAATAAAGAATGGAATTGAGAGCTTTGAAATTCTGAGTCATCGCATTGAATAGCACAGCTAAGACTTGAGCGTTTTGGTTTTCACAGTAATTAACAGATCTGTCTTGATTTTGAAGCAAATAGCAGCACAGATACTTAAACCTCTTAAATTTTAGTTAGGGTTCCCACCATCCTTGAAGGACACACATTACTGGTTAATTACTGGCTGCTTTACAGCTGATCTAAATCCTGCATTCATAAGGCATTTCATCTAAAGGTTTTATTGTTGTTTTATAATATTTACATATTAATCCTAAAGTATTCAAAACCAAATTATTCTGTGATTTTCGTAAGTAGAATTCAGAAGATTCAAAAGAGTTTGTTTATTAAAAAAAAAAAAAAACTTCTCTATGTCCTTGCCATGTTGTTTATCACTTAACAATATTTTAGAGGAGTTCCTATTCAAGCTGTAGTCTCTGTGGTAATTTCAGTGTTTTCTTTTTTTTTTCTTTTTCTCCTAATTTTCACTGTGACTAATTATTAAGTTACAAAGGGAATAAAATGTGGGTTTGAACAGTTAGCATCTTCCAGCTGGGTGTTTTTAACTTATCATAAGGAAGCTGAATTGAATTCCCATCTCCTCAGGCACTCAGGTGTTTTGAGTTTTTTTTTTTTCTTAAATTTACACAATTCATGTAGGAATAAATCAGTTCTCTGAGGAAGGATGTTATAGGAGGTAACAATTCTTTGCAGAATTCAGAGACTTGTAAGTCAAGTATGATATCTTGTCACTGTTGAAGGGCTTAGGGTTGGACTCAATGATCTTGAAGTCTTTTTCAACCATTATGATTCTTCCTTTTTTTAAAAAAAAATAAGTGTTCTATATTTCTGTTCTGTTCCTTGTTTTATTGCATATACATATGTGTATTTTGAAGGTCATAGGCCAGAGTTTTAAGGGAGCTTCAGGAGCACAGCTTGAAGTGTGTAGTCCTTTGCTCTGGAGATCCATACAGTGAGTCTATCTAATGTTTTGTAGCTGTTATCCCCTAAGGGATTCAGACCCCTGGAATACAATCCCTCTTGTGTAACATGTGATGTGCTGCCTACAAGCCTGGTGCTGCCTGGACATCTTCTCCGGGACTGGCGCTGCCAGCTTTGGTTAGCTTACACACAAGAAGAAACAGGGCCATAGAAAGAGTAGAAATCAGTTGATTGACTTAAACTTCAGATGGCAAAGAAGGAAACTGCTGTCTAGAAATTTGGAACTCGCAAAAGTAGGGGAAACTCCAAAAAACTTCTGGGGCAGAGCAGTAATAGGAGTGCACTTGAAACAAAGTAGTACCAGGGTGACTGCAGGTCATGTTCCCAATAATGCTGTGTTAAAACTGTCTTAATACTGTCAGAAGAAGCTCCAATATGTGAAAAGTGACACAAGTAGTTTTGAAGTCAGCTTTAGATTTTTTTTTTTCAGAATCCTAGTTAAATATTCTGGATTTTTAAGATGAAAGTTAAAAAATACCTACTTTACAGCAAGAGGTGTAAGCTTCTGTTTTAAGTCTCTGTCATATTCCAGTATGTTTCCTTAACACCTTTTTGTTAAGGCAACAGATTACATCTAATAACAAATGTAGAACTTCTGTTGTAATTTTTTTCTCTCCTTTTCAGACTTTGTTCATAATATTAATGTAACAGATATTGTTCCTGGCACTAATGAAAGTAACAAAGGTAAGAAAAAAGATTCCCTGTTTGGTGGGTGAGGGCTTAAAGACAAATAAACATGGTTTCATGCCTAATTTTTATCTGCATTTCAGTTATAGAATGTATTCTAAGGTCTAGCTACCTATTTTTTAAAGCTGTAATTTTTCTATCTGGGATTTGTATTTCCACATATAACCACAAACTTGGATGGCAATCCTAATAATGAAAAAGAATGAGATGCAGTTATATGTTTGTGTGCCCAGCTAGCCACTCCTTGAAATTATGTATTTTAAATCTCTAACAGTAGTTGTGTAGTGAGTAATCCCCTTAAGGAATTTAAACTTCGGCACTCTGAAACTAAGAGATGCCCGATGTGTTTGCTTTTGAGAAGCTTGGATGGGTCATCTGCCCTCCTCACAGCACTACCATATACTTATTAAAAATGCTGTAGCCACAGCTTTAATGATGCTGAACACAAAAAAAAAAAAAACTGTGTCAGGCTGCACAAGTGCCCACATGCTTCTGTGGAGCAGCTGGCATTTTCATGACTAAGGCAAAATGCTGCAGCTGAGTTTGGAGATAGATCTGCTGAGAATTTTTAAGAAGAGAGAATAATATACAATGAAGGTAGGAGCGTGAACACTGTCAGTAGCTGATCTTGTGCCTTTGTAGCACCTGGAAGTGTAGCCCTGTGTTACAAAGTAGTAAATTATCCCTGTCCCAGGTGCATATGGGAATGGGGAAGTGTTTCCAAACCAGTGAGACAGCTGTGTGTCACAATGCTGCAGCATTGTTTCTGGAGAGCAGCTTTTTAGAGTAAGACAAAAAGTTGAGAAAATTCTGAAAAATAGTTGATTTGCATTTGAGCTCGTTCTGAATTCTGTTTCTCCTGTGTCCTTATCAGGTGGGCACCAATACCTACTGCTGTGTTCTTCTGTCTTGCTTCTATTCTGATCCCATGCAGCAGGGGATATAACAGAGAGATCAATCCATAGCATTTTACAGTGACTGTAAGACTGAATTGGGTTGCTGAATAAATTAAAGGTCAACAACTGTTTGAATGGCTCTTGCCAAGACATCCAGGGCTAGCAAAGAGATCAATCAGAATGAAAGTGTTTTGATAAGTTTGTGGACGAGTCCTTTAATAAGCAACAGAGGCATACGCAAATGCAAAACCTAGTAAAGTAACGTGTTGTGATCGTAGGTAACATTTAATAGGACACTTTCTACACCTTTTCCTTTGTAGCAGAATAGGCATGAAGCTGATGAGGGAGGGAGGCTATGAAATACAGTGAGGTGCCAAGATTCCAAAAAAAAATGAAGAGAACAATAAGACAGTAAGAACAATAAGATTCATATTTCAACACATAATTTTGTAGGCATCTCTTAGAAACGAATGCTCATTTTAGCAGCAAGCAAATAAAACCCTTTTCATCAAGGGATATGTTTGGATTTTGTTGTTCCAGTCTCTTGTCCAGGTGCTACCATGTCAGCCAGTGTTGATGAGCCGCCACACAATAGGACATTCCTTTCTGGCAGCATTATTATTATGTGTTAAATTGTTTCTCCTGGGTTGTTTCATTGAATTGCTCGTATATGGCCAAGCCCCGAGATGACAGGGTGCTTCACTTCAGTTCATGAGTTTGCACCTGCTATTAATTACAGCAGCTTTCTTGTCATCTTCAGCTTGCGTTCCCAGGACAACATACACTGATACTGGCTCTTCTTCATGCAGAGGTACCCACACTGGTTTGTGTCATCTGACACACGTGCAGAGGCAGATGGTGATGCTAAATAAGCATCCAGATGCCACCATGCACTGCTGTGCCTGGGCTGCAACAGGTGGACACTGAACACACAAGTTGCTTGTGGAGGTGGTTCCTCACGCTTACCTTGTGCAGAAGCTCCCACTAGAACAGAACGGGTTTCTCGCTCATTTTCAGCTGTAAGAACATTGGCTTTTGTCAGTTTATCATGCAAGGACCCTGGTGATGTAGCCAAGCAGTGAAATGTTAGCACTGTGCTCCTAATAAAGAAAAAAAAAAAATTTAAGAAAAAGTTAGGAGCAGAATTGTGAAACATCGCTTCTGGGTGGTCCTATTCTGCACTGCTGAGACGCTTCCCAGAAATTATGGGCTCTTGGTTGTGAAGATTATGTGCAAATAGCCTCTTTTTCATCAGGGACTATTTTTGTTTTCCTTTGTTTCAGTTATTTGTCCGGGTGCTGCTAAGGATTATCCACCTCAAAACGGGAGTGTGACACTCTTTTCTGGCAACAGTACCAGTTTTGAGCTCTTCGAGGAGTGGTGGGACAAGTCACGAACAGTGCCGTTTTACCTGATTGCTGCTCTTCTGCCCCTGCTAAATCTGAAGTCTCCATCATTCTTTGCAAAATTTAATGTTCTAGGTGGGTAACAAGTACTCTAAAAGAATGTGTTCACTGCAGTTAAAAAGAAACGTATACAGTAGAACTACTCTAGTGAGCAATTTTGCAGTAGCCAGTATCCTACCTCAAAGTGGTTCAGTGTTTGATTTGTTAAATCACCCACAGGCTTTTTCTGTCCTGCTTTGTTTGAACCTTAATGTTAATGAGGAGATACTTTTTGTCTTTACTTCCTTGATAATCCTGTAAAACAAGTTCTAGTGGTTTTACAACTGATTTTTCTAAGCTGTGGAACACAGACTTCACAGTAGCATTTGATGCATGCTCCCTTGGTATGGCAGTCAGACATATCCTTCATCTGGTAAAAAAATGGTTGCTTTCAAAGAGTAATTGCCAGTGACTTGAAGCCCTTTGCTACCAATCAGCTGGTCAATTAGTAGCATCATTAGTCAATCACTCTAACTTGCTGCTGTGCTTTGCCACAGCTCCCAGTTCCCTGGTCTGTTCTGTGCTAAAACATGAACATTTCTTTTTTGCCCTTGTTTTCTCTGCCTTACAAGCCAGGGAAATCAAGAGCATGGATGATGGGTGGGATTGGTCCCAGTTAATAGAAATGGAGAGGCAGGAGGGCATTGGCGTTGAAGCTCGTGGTGAGGATGGAAAACGAAACAGGGAGCACACAATGTGTTGAAAAAGATAAAGATGGGTGATAGAAGGGGTAAAATAGAGGGAAATGAGGGCCTAGTTTGTCTTCCATTTTGGTGTGACACCTCCTTAGAGCTTGGATGTGCTCTGCTGGACCAGTCACGTGAAAATACAACACAGGAAGTTGGATAAATGGCAGTACTTCTGTATAGTGAGGTTTTTATACAGAAAAGTCAAGCGTTGAAACATTGGGAGTAAGAAAATACTTTTTAAGTGAGATTTGGCCATAACTGTACCTCGTTTTAGAATATGTCCAGAATGTATTATTGGCAGCTGCTTTTATTTAAGGACTAATCTGATCTTATGAGAAATTTCATGTTTAAATGTTCAGAAAGTCAGTAATGCAGAAACTGTTCAAAGTTGCCTTAATTTTGTAATTTTGGTGAACCTTAAATACTATAGTACAAGAAAAAGTGGAAGGCGATTTTTAAGGTGCTGAAATAATATAAGCTTTTTTTCTTTTAGTGATCTTTATACTTGCAGAAAGTTGACTGCTTAAGAAACCACAGGCTATGTTAGTTGTTCATCTGATCCTAAAGTACAGAACTTTCTCCCAGCTTAACTCTTGGCTTCGTTTCTGTGTCATCAAATGAAATATTTCTTTAATTTATTTTGTAATCCTGGAGATCTTGCTATAGCAAAATGGTATCTTGGCTGAATCGGTATTCTGACCTATATAAGTAAAGGTCAAGAATCAGCGTGTACTTACAGCCTGCTCTATGACTAGCAGGATCGTTAACTGGGATGTTTCATCACAGTAGTTTTATTTACTGCTGGTGTCATTTCCTTCAGTCTTTGGGTAGTTGTTAATTGCCCTTCTGCTGTCCCTGTCTTTTAAATGACCGGCACCGAGATCATATGCTGTCCCACATGCAGATAGAGCAGGACATGTATATCTGTTATACATCCATCTGTATCCATTATATATCCATCTCTGATCCTCCTTGTAGTTCTCAGGCTGTGCAATGTGTAGCCGGATGACTCAGGACCAGTCAGATAGAATGGAAATCCTGTGCACTTAGGTTACGTTCAAGGCAGGATTAAATCCATTGCAGTCAAATGTAGTTATTAGGCTTTTGACTCCCAGTGTAAAGTTTGCAATTACAATTAGCATTAATTAGTATCTCACTGTGCCATTTGGTTCAAAAGTTAAGGAGTGAATGGGCAGTGTAAGATATGTAGTTCCTCAGCCAGCTGGATGCCATGTTGGATTGAGCTCCTAATAGCTGAAGTTGAAGCCCTGTTCTTACTGCCTGAAGACCTCCGTGCCTACCGAGTGCTGGCCACTGCTGGGCACCCCTTCCACCCCTTCCACCCTCACTCATGCAGCACCTGGAGAACTTTAAACATACTTGGAGCTTGTGTGGATTTGTGTTGCTCTTCCTCGGTCTGACTTCTGACCTAAAAGGAGGGAACTTAGACTGTGTTTTTAAGACCAAATACCAATCTAACTATTCAGACTTCTGATAATTTATAGGATGAAGTAAGAATAAAAGAGAGCATACTTGCTATTACTTTATATTGATTTTTTTTTTCTCTCTCTTGTCTAGGTACGATTTCAGTTGTCTACTTAGTTTTTCTTGTCACTGTGAAGGCTGCTCGTCTTGGGATTCACTTAGAATTCAACTGGTTTACAGAGAACGAATTTTTTGTACCAGGTAAGGTAAAACGTGTGTATGCTGTGGGGATTAGACTTTTTAAAGAACTTCATAAATGTCTGTCTCGCCCACCTTTTAACGGCCCTGGTTAACCAAGGTAAACCAAGCAAGGAGGTGCTATCTGATGTTATGTCTGGAAGCCCAGAAAGGGTTTCTTGTGACGAAGGGAGAGGGAGTCCTTTTCCCATTAATGTTGCTTATTTAGGAGACAAATATCAGCACTGGAGAAGAGGAGAAGCTACCATTAGATGTATCTGCAGTCTTTATCATGTATGATGTATGCATCATCTCACCGTCTCTTTTAAGTGACCGTTAGCTCGTACAAATGGCACTACTGCATGAACAGGTAAGCTAGAGAGAGAGCAGTTTCTTATTTTAGGAGACTTGGAAAGAGGGATCAAGGCCAGGTCTTTAGCTGTTGTTTCCCCATCCCCAGGCTTTACAACAGGAAAAAAAAACGCGCTTCCAGCTAGCTTCAAGGAACTGTGAGCTGTAATATTGAATTGGATCACTCTCATATGCTCAGGAGCAGAAGTAGTTTTATCCTTCTTTAAAAGTTGCTTATTTACTTCAGCATAAGTCAAAGTTCAGAGATAAGCACTTTCTTCAGTTTTCTTCGGTGGTTTGTGCCATTCTTCCCAGCAGTGTATGGCTTAGCAAGTCTTAATCATGATAAGTGCTAAAGTACTATACTGGTTTTACGCATAGGATGGAAACTATTGTTAGGAGTATCATTATGGATTTGAAGAGAACCAGAATCATTTAAATCTTTAGGAAACAATTTCAATTATTAGAGTAAGACGGTCATCAAAAGAGAAACGCCAGAGCTGTTCTGCAGTTGACAGTAGGATCTGTTCTAATTTGTGCAGTCATGGAAAGACACATCTCACTAGCTCAACAGATAAACTACAGTTGATAGTCACTGAGCAAGTGATAGAAAATTCGTGTAATTTAAGTGTGTTCACATGAGAGTTGTGTTAGTCTTGCAGCAGTTAACGCTTTTTCTTCTGCTACTCCCATTTGGTTGATTCAGCTCTACAGTTAACTTGGTCCAGTAAAGTCAAACAGCTGAGTGTATTCTGTGTATTTTGGACCAGAACTCTGCTCATAACCAGTGTTTCTTTCCTCCCCACCTCTCAGCAGTAAAAGCTCTCATCAGTTCTGTTTATTCGTTCTCCCATGGCCGCTGAAAGTCACTGCTTCCTCATCTTAGGCTTTTAGAAGCCTATTTCAAGATCTGAATGCTGAGAAACAAGTGAAGGCCTTGGTAAAACTTTTTTTTTAAGCTTGGTTATGTCACTGAGAAGGAAAATGATAGTCAGTTCTGGCTTGAGTCTTGCGAAGCTGAGCAATTTTGCCAAGTATCGCTTTGTACAAGACCAAAACAGATGCTATCAGGATGAATTGGATGTAAGGAAGTTTTACATGATTCCCTAAGAATCCTGGGTGCTGCAACATGTATATGAATATATAGATAGAAGTAGGTTAGGCCTACAGTGGTGGGTGTGTTGGTCTGTTTTCATGTATTACTGTGTTTACTGTAAGAGTGTTTTTTGTGGACTGACAGATTACTTTTGTTTGCAGTGTAACAATTTGGATTTCAAAGCACTTGACACATCTGTGTTAATGACCTAATTTATTTTTGTATGACATTATTCTTAATGCCATTTGTAAGTAGAAATAATATGCTCGTCTGTGCTGCTCAAAGTCCATATTAGATAGACCAGAACATTTGGTCTTGCTCCAATGCAAGATTTATGTAGACAGGGAGAACTGCTGCACGTACGTTCAGGAGTGAAGACTTGGCAAGTGAAGGGTTCCCAGCATCCAAAGTCTTACAGTAATGTGGGATAAAATGAGTCTTTAAGAAATTGGATTCTAGTTAATGACTTGTTGGTTTGCTACAAGGGTTGGTTTCCAACTAGCTGATGAAACTGAGAAATATAAAGTGCTAAAGTTGGCCTCTGCTGGTGGTACTGGACACAAAAGCTAAGATTTAAAAAATACAACAGGGCAGTTAGGTAAATACAAGACTCTGCTGCCACCTCTCTCTGAGAAACCCCATATAGCCTTTCTCTGAAAGCAGGGTTTGAATGTGAACTGTGCCAATAAACAGTCTGGGAATTCCTGTGTGAATCTGCAGATTCTTTGTAATGCAGGAGAAAATTCACCCAAACTCTGGTACGCAAACGGACATGCATAAATCAGAAACCAGTCTGATTTGAGATATCTTGAGGTTCAAGTCCAAAGCCGTATTACGCAGTGCTAGTATAAAATGAGTTGTAGAAATATGTGCTGCAGGGTTCTGTAAGAAATATAGTACCCAGTAGCTGGATTATTTTGGCAATGTGACTAGTACTACTAGGAGACAAGGTTAGCATGTAGCTACCACTACATAGATACACATCCAGGCTGTTATAGTGCTGGAGGAGATTCTGTATCTGTCAGTTTGGTTTTATTACTGAGAATGAAGTAGAGGGAAACAAGCCCAAGACTCACTTGTGTGCTCTGAATTCTATTGGTAGCAGATCATGGTAGTTAGAATTTTCAGATGTACCCAAACCATCATCATGTCCTCAAGAAGACAGCGTCCGTCAGGCTGGAGGAGCCCTCTTTTTAAGTACCTGCAGATTTCATTGCAATTTAGAGAAAATTGGTCCAGATATGTTTGCATGGAGCTCTGTGTGATTTGATCTGTGAATGCTTGTGAGAGTCTGGTAAGTGTATTGTGACACTGCTGGATGTCTTCCAGAGCTGGGAAAGCTCAGTGATATCTGATTGGTAGAACACTCTGAGGGTATGTATATCCATACGTGTTACACTCAGTGTGGTGCTTTAATGATGTTATTGCATTGGTAAATTCCTAGATTATTTACACTATTTCAGTAAATGCAGTCTTGTGGACATAATCCTCTGAGTATGAAAAGAAGAGATATTCCTGTGGAGGGCCACACACACACACACACACACACACGCACACACACACGCAAGTAGGGGGAAGTAGTAGTGGGTTATGATAAGTCAAGATGTTTCTTTGCCTTTCTGAGGACTTTAGTTTGGAAGCAGCATGCATCTACAGATGGCAGTTTCTTGTAGCATAGCTAACTTGTTGATCTTGGTCAAGATCAACAAGATCAACAAGAAAGAGATGCTTGCAGAGACCTTTGCCCTATTTCCATTCTCAGAGACTGTTACACATGCAGTCTCCCTGGGACTGATTCCTGTGTCAAAAATGTTTGCTAATAATGCTGAGAAGCAGAAGGGCTTTACACAAAGTCCTAGATTAACCTGATAATCTTTTATTGTTGAGGTCTTGTGAGACTGTTCCTGGAGACTGTTCCAGTGGTTATATAGTAACTGGTTATATACTGGCCTTATGATTCTGTACTTCGTGACACCTGGATTGGCTATAATGAATGGCAGGATACTGGCCCATTTCAAGATGACAGTCACATTTCTGGCAGTAGACTCCAGTGCTGTATGTTCTGTACATACTGTCATTTATTTCAAAGATATAAGTAATTAATACTATTTTTTCCCTTCCCCCTTAGAGTTTAGAATTCTGTTTCCTCAGCTCACAGGTGTTTTGACACTTGCCTTCTTCATCCACAATTGTATCATCACCCTTCTTCAGAATAACAGGAATCAAGAAAACAATGTAAGTAATTTCACCAGGCTTTGCTGATTTGTATCTAGATTGCCAGGCGACGCTAATATTTTCTTGTCTGCTTCTCTTGAAATTGATCCAGGGACTGTAATAGCTTCAGAAAATGTAAATTTTATGTTGTGATCTGATGAGGAAGCCATTGCACATACTTTTCACTGGCTGCCATTGAGTAATAGATGTATTACAGACTCATTCAGATGAAATCCCTGAGGAAAGATGCAAAATTATTTGTGGTCAGACTGACAGTAAAATGGCCAAATAATGCATAACAGGCAGAAGGCTTGATAATGTTGCAAGACTTTAGGAAAAATGATGTAGAAAGAAAAATACTTGAGCTTTTTGAATGGAGGGCTAGTTGTAGTCAAAGGTTCTGAACGCTAGTGGTGGGGTATGGAAAACATCTTTTTTCAGAGTTGCTTCAGGAGTTTCTGCCATGACTCAAATCAAGGTCAGGGAAACCTGGCTCTATTTAGGAAATCTTTGAAGCTGAAGCCTGGGTTTGGGGAGTGCTTGTGATATGTAGAGTTTGGACTGGTTCTTTACTCTCTGAAAAAGTTATGTTACTGCTTTATCTAGATGAAACTGCATTCCTTAATATCTTCCCATGTTATGAGGCAGGCAGGAAGATTTCTTTTGAATGGTAAAAAAATAAAATAGTCATAATAAAATGTTAAGAGTCCTAGGGTACATTTTTAATCTAATTATGTTGTGTTTTTCCTCTCCTTCTTTGTCCAACTTTTTTAAAGTCTATTTGGTAGCGATGTTGACATTCGCAAAATTTTAACTGTTGCTTGTATTAGAGGCTGGTACATCTCATTCAGCAGAGAATTGCAGGTTATGTGCCAGTGCAGTGAGGTGCCATTTTGCTTTACCCCAAGATGACTTTCTTGACCTTATAAACCAAAGCCAGCTGACCCCTTGTGAAAAGGGTGTCCTGACTTCTCCTCTAGAAAGCTTCTTATGTTTTATGGGCACTTTTGAAAGTAGTATAACACCTAAACAGTGGGTTAATGGAGTTCTTGAGAAAGAAAACTTAGTAAATTTTTTCCTAAGAAAAGAGTTTTCCTAAGAAAATCTTAGTGATGCACAAAAGGGTCAAGACTTCTATTTCCTGTTAGTTTTGGCTTTCAAATTCTAAAGGGACAATCATTCCTATAGTCAGTCACATGCAAGGAGGCCTAATGCCTTTTTGTCACATTCAAGACTCTTCCTGTAGCTTTTCCTCCTCCACTGACACTGGAGGAAGAAACCAGAGCACCAAAGAGCAGCACCTGGAATATTCCCCAAATTCCTTTTACTCTGCTAAGGATGAGGAAACTGCTGACTGCATTTGAATCGGCATTTCCAAATGTTCTTCCTGGGATTTGAACTCAACTTTGAGGTCAGCTTTAGCATGCATCCCAAACCCTGAAAAGACTTGCACTGCTGGATAGTGTTTGAATTGCACAGGAAGGGAACCTTCAAGTGTGGCAGGAAAGATTTGTAATGGGAAGCCAAATCTGTGCAGAATTTCTTCAGTTTTATGTGGCTATATGTTCCTTTGCTTATACAGGGTCACAGTAACTTTTAACATCTCTAGGTAGGATTCATAATTTCCTTCTTTGCTCTTTGTAGCTGTATAGGAGCCTGTCACCTAGACCTTTGAAGTGTTTTGCAAATGTAAATGAAGCATTGATATTCTTGAAGAGCAAATTGTTTTGTGATTTAGTTCATTGAGCTGCTGGACCAATTAGGAGTCATGCATATGTATACAGCTCCCAATCTCTGTGAAAGGGAGTTTTGAAGATATTTGTTTCATGCATATTTACGTCAATAAAATGTTTTTCATTCTGTCAGTAGCTCACAGATACTGAATGGAGACCGCATTTTTATTGGATAATCATGTTAAAACATGACTTCTAACAGAATCCCAACTGAAGACAGAACTTAAGCTAGAAAACCTGGTGAAACTAGGGCTTGTAGGAAGCACTTTTGTGAGGAAGAAAAATGGTTCAATTCTTTTAATGGAGTAAGAAATCCAAAAGGGCAGCAGCTTCCATTCTGGTCCCAGTGAGGTGTCTGTGCTGAAGGTTAATGCGTGTTGGAGGAGGAGTCCTCTGCTAGTATTCCCGTGCAGTGGAGAGGCTGTGGAAGGAGCCAAGGAGCAGTGCTTGGTCTAAATCAAGTGAGTTGCTCCCCTGCCATCAGTTTGTGCTTCCAGCCAAAATAACACACAGCGCTGTGCATTGTGATGAACAACTTTTTTTTTTTTGTCATCCTGTTAGACATTATTGCTTGCTATTGAAACTGGAACTACTCAAAGGCCTTTGTACAATATGCACAGAGTCCACATGAGATATTACAGAGGTGGCACCTGTTTTTTCAAAAACAACTAATCTGAAATGAGATAATCAAAAGCAACTTCTTCTAATATGTTAATAATTACAATAGACTGATTCAGACTCCTCCACCCAAGAAGGGACTCTACATACTAGTTTCAGCTGTGCCACTGAGGGGGGAAAAAAAACAAACTGCTGGACCCATAAGCCCATGACCTGCAACAGGGAAAACGAGGCCTGAAAGTTGCCTATTCTTTTTAGCATCACACAGGAAATACCTGTAGAGAAGCCGCAGCGCTTACATGTGCTACTTCCAGTGCTGTGCAACAGGCTGCACCTTTCCCTGGATTTGTATCTTGGAGTTGTGATAGGATTATATCAGTCTTCTGATTGATATTTGATTCTTACATTGTAAACTCTTTGGTGCAGGGACAGTTGTATTCTGTCTGTTTAGACAGTTCTTGCCACAGTGTTGCTTGGTGTGGCTATAAACTTCCTTAAAATAGGCAAATGGGTTTATTGCTGTGTTGTTTAAGAAAATAATCCTGTTATCTCTCTTCATGTCCCCTAGAGTTTTATCTGGAATTATGCTGTCTAAATAGTATTTGTAGTCAAGGTCTTTAGAGAGTGAACTTGGGTCTCCTGAGCAGTAATGTAGAAGTGTTCTTGTTAATCACACAGACACCTGCATGCACCCACACATGCTTGTACAACGGCAGCTGTCTTAGCCGCTTGTTTTCATATATGGAAAAAGATACTTGCAAGGGAGCTGAAGGATGTTTGAGTAAAGATAAATTCAGGTTGAGTCACTGTTACCTGATCAAGATCAGGGTGTTTTTTGTATTATGGTAGGTTCTGGAGTCAAATCTGTTTTGATTTATGTTCTATAAAATTCAATATTATCCCTGCGTTTAGGTTTTGTTACAGAGTAAAAGAGGTACTCTTAAAGATCGGTGCGAGTGACAAGTATAATCAGAGAGGTAATAGCATGCCAGTTGTCTACCCTTCCTCAAGTCTAATCCAAAGGAAGTGGCATGAATTTCCTTTCCCTTGTAACAGCAAGAAGTTCCCACAGTAAAGATGATTTGACCCTTGATTTTAATGCTTAAGTGCAGAGCATGTCCAGAGACAACTGTGAGTTCCTGTGTGCTTTGCATGAGAAACTGCAGTCTTCATACAAAAGGAATATAACAGCTCTCTAATTTAAAGCAAGTGAAAACAGGTTCTGTCAGGTGATGGTTTTTTCGAGAACTTGGGTGCATTTTGAGAAATTGTCCAAGTCTTATCTTCAAAAGATGAGAGTTTTTGCAAAAAAACCCTTATCCTGATTAGTCTGTAATACTTGCAGTAATGAGAATTACTCACAAATGGTTATAAAAGTCTAGATGTTTAGAAAAGTAAAAAAGCACAGCCCTGCTGTCTAACTGTGCAGCAGCAAGAGGAGGTTGTAGCTGGCAGGAGGGAGCTGCTGGGATGCATGAGGACTACCCTGGCACAGTGTGTTAACAGCAGGCAGTTGTCTGGTTAGCAAAATCAGTGTTTGTTAAAATGGCATCACTCTCCTGCCACAAAGGTGTGGGCAAACGAACAGGAGATCCCAGGTCCATTACTAAAACCTGGCTTCCTCCTCCTGAGCTTTTTTTGCAATGTGTAACCTTGCATGTTTATGCTTTCCCTGGGGCCACCTGCCCTCAGGAGACTGCAGAGGTACAAGATATGCTGCTTTTATCAAGGCGATAGTGTGAATAAACATTTCAGGAGCCACTTTCTTGCACAGAAGCAAGCAAGCTTTGCCCAAGCTCTTGAGCTGGCTGGATTCTATAAAATCCTGGTCTGGAAGCCATATAGTCCCATTACTTTTGGGCCTTGTGCCTGAGCTAATAAGGCTTGCTCCTCAGCCACAGGAAAACAGGGCCATGTATCGAAGGTATTAGCAGTAATCCTTTAAGAAGCCGATTATTAGCAGCAGCAGAGCAAAAAGGTAATAAATGTCCTGTAGTGTAGTATAAACTTAAACAGAATCTAGTCGGTTAATATCTAGAAACAATTTCTTTCTTTCTTTTTCTCTCTCTCTCTCTCTCTCATTTTTTTTTTAATTCACATATAAAAAATTGATGCACGAAATTCCCATTAAGTATATTGCTATTAGGTCACTCTAATGTTTGTATATTCTGCAGTTTCAGAAAGTACTGAAATAGATTTGGTGCTTATTTCATAATACTAAATATTGCTTACAAATTTTATAAATAATTTTATGAAATTGGCATGATAGATAAATTGTAGTCAAAATTTTCAGAAGTGAACATGGGAGATAAGCTTTTAAACCCATACTTCAAGATCACGCTTAGGTATCTGTATTACAGATAGACGTTATTACAGATTACGGGTTTAGGACCCTAGACTGATACATCCAGCTCCACTTTGAAATATCTTCTTGCAGCTTTCTCACCTGATCCAGGACTGAATTTGAAGTCCCTATTCAAGTAAATCTTCGGTTTAACTCAATAGAAGTGTTCTCCTGACATTTTCAGTTTGTCTCTTTTAAGTACTTGCCAAATAAGTTTTTATTTTTTCTCAGGTGAGAGACCTCTCTGTTGCTTATTTCCTGGTGGGATTAACGTATCTGTATGTTGGCATGATCATTTTTGCATCTTTTCCTTCCCCGCCATTATCCAAAGAATGTATAGAACAGGTAAGGTGTTTCATTTCACTGTATAAATTCATCCTTGACCTTTTAATAAGTATCTATTTTTAAAAATTGCTCCTTTTGTAATGTCTGGCAGACATGTCTGTTCTTGAGTGTGCTCAGGTGCCTAGTGCCTGTGGGCACTACCACAAATAAGGGAATAGTGCGAGGGTTATCACATCGCTATTCATGTGAGCTTGACAGGAGTTCTCCAAAACCAAATGTGAAAGTAATCAAGAAAAGAGTGAAAAGAATAAATGAAGAGTTCAAGCTTTAATTTCTTTAGTTACTTGAATCCTTTATATTACTTGAATATTATGGTATATTGAATTTTATGAATTTTATGTGCAGGGACAAGTCTCAGTCATCACTGGAACTAGTTGAAGGTGCTCAAAAATAGAAACACAGAGTGAATTATGGCTCTTTTAGATTGGAGTCCTCATGAGAATAGTGTAGAGTCTAATGTTGTGTTGGGCCTTGCCAAGGAGGTTCTTTATACTAGCACCTCACAGCTAGTGCTTTTGTTAAGGCCACTAAACATCTAGCAGCAGGGCTGGTTCCCGTGCCCTGAACTGTTTCAAGGCCAGAAGTTATCCAAGGGTGATTCATTTTATGCAGGGTGTTCCACATCTCTTGCAGAGTGTTTAAGTCAAAAAGCAACATTTAAAGGCTTCTTCTGACTGTAGGTCAGGTTAAGTAGGTAAGAATTAATACCGTTTTTTAACCATGAAATGATTTTATGAGCCAATTGAAATAATCTCATGAGGTGAAATCCACAATTAAATGACAAGCCTTTAACTTTATTGTCTGTAATTATAATAAGTAGTTATGGAACTGTGTATATATTTCCATGATATCTAAGTTTTATATATACTGTTTTTCAAGGGTTTCCACTTGTAGAATATTGCCCATTCCTCACTTGTATATGATCAAATTGTATTAATTAACCTTTTTTAATGTCAGAAATGGTGTGATAGGTAATAGGAGCATATGAATTTGCTTGAGAAATCAGGTAGTCATTGCACTGCCCCAATTATTTAAGAATGTTCAAAAGAAGAAAGTAACTCCATCTTTAATGCTACATAAAAACGATACATGTTCTTTAATATTTAGTGTTTAATAGATGTTAGGTGTTTTTTTGGTGACATAACGATTGCAAAGTTGAGATAGAGAACGTGACATTTTGCGGAGTTCATTTGGGAATTTTAATCATTTAGTTTTATTCTTCTTTCTTGAACTGAGCTATAAAGACCCAGCCAATACATGCTATAACGTCATGAGTGATAACTGTAACATTTTTCCTGTGTTTAGAATTTTCTAGATAATTTTCCCAGTGATGACATCATGTCATTTGTTGCAAGAATAT